GGGGCTCGTACGGAGCGAAGGTAGGTTGTTGATGTTGATTCCCGCGTGCGTAGGATGAGCCATCGAGACTCATGGGTGTCACGTTGTTGTTGTTGTTGCTGTTGTTTGATTGCGCAGGTACTCATTGCTGGTGCTGCTCGTAGAAGGACATGAAGGAGAAGAATTTCTCCATCATGCTTGGATCGAAGCCCGCGCCTTGGTTTGCGGGTGTTTCCGTAGACCCAGCTGCTGGTCTCGTCGTTGTCCCTTCCTCTGTCTGTAGACCAGAGGCAGGAGGTGGAGTAGGGGTAGTACCGGGAGAGCCGTTGGAGGAGCTCCTCTCCTTTCTAGCAGACATGTCTTCTTGATGTATTGAGTGTTGAAAAAATAGTACCTTTTAACTCTAACTGCTCTCATACCATGTTGGGCTGAAAAGCCCTAGGATCTTTGTAGAGTTAAAGTCTGAGTAAGTGATGTAATAGCGGAAGCGTTGAATAAAGTCCTTGAACCACCTTGCGCTTGTATGTGAGGGCAAAGTAAGTTGATTAAAGCAAAGAGATACAGGAATAAATATATGAGTACAAAGAATATGAAGAGACATTATGACTACTTTACTGTTGCGGTTCGATATGGTGCGACTCGGGCAACTGCTCAATGTCGAGTCAGTTGTGTGTCCTTGCTGTCGCGCTGCGTCAGGTCAAAGGTCGCTGACCTTTGACTTTCTCGTAACCTCCAGCGGTTACGTTAACTTCCGAGGGTTGACTCGCGATGCTTCGATTTGAGCTGCTTCGCTTGTGTCTTGAGTTCTGACACGACAGAGGCGCTTAAACTATTTGTTCCCAACACTCGTCAATGGCAGGCAGGAAACCCCCGCCTACCCCCGTAGAGGAACCTGCGTGGCAGCATATTCGTTGCGCTGGCAGGGAATCTTCCCCACCCTTCGAGAGGGTTCGGAAGAAATGCAGATGCCACGCAGCGCATGTGGCTGTGATTTGGCCGCACGGCAACATCCCCGTCACTCCTGTCACGTTCGATGGTTCTAGACAACTTTGTGCGGTGGGAAACCGAACCGCAGCTGTTTTTGCCTGAAAACCATGCACGATCCCACTTGTTGCATGGTCCGTGTTGAAATTAGGAGGTCGCTAGAGTAGCGGAAATACTCTAGGAAATAACGACGTCCCAGCGGCGGGGCTATGGTCACTCAGAGGTAGCTCTCCTGGCTTGTAACTTGGTGCCAAAGCGGCGGCCGAGGGTGGGCCGGACACAAGCTTGAGAATTGTGTAATGATAGCATGGCAGTACATTGAGTTATATAGGAAACATAGCAGGGAGGCAGTTACCAAGGCGCAACTGTATTACAGTTGCGCTGTAACGTTTCAGTTGCCCAGTTACTGGCGAGACCTTTCAGCTTCGGCAAGGGCGCGGTATTCTGCCGCGCCTCCAGGGTGGTTTCGCGTACTGTAGACGCTGCCTCTTGCTCAATTCGACCCTTCGGCTGCCACGCGGGTCGCAACCACTGTACGCGGTTGCGCCCCTGCAGTTCGATACTTGAGTCAACACCCCCGATATTGAGGGCTTCGCTTCTGCACTTCGAACAGTGCACTGCAAGATAAATAACACACAAATATATTTCCAACAGTCCGTTAGGTTTGCCTTATTGTGGGCTTCAATTTAGTATGTTTAAAAGTGAATTTCATTTTTTCCTTATTATAGGGGCATGCGCGTATACAGACACCTCAATTAGAAGCGCACCCCCCCAAAAAACACTGTTTTATTATAAGCGCACCTGCTCTTTTATCCGGGGTAATACGGTATGTATTGGGGAAGAACATGCATGACAAGTGCATCAAGCAAGGTTAGCCAGGAGGAAGCAAATGGAAGAGCGGTATGTGGGAAGAGGATGCGAAGAAGGGTGCAGGAATTGCTTGTGGAAAGAAGCAGATTCGGTATGGAATCAGATTTTTCAGAGAATGTCATCAGGGTTGGGGTGTATGTGCTATCAGTGGCGCGTCAAAATGCCAACTACGGAACCATAGCAGCTCCCACTTGATTCAAATTCGGAACCATAGCAGCTCCCACTTGCTCTCAAGGCGGCCAGCGTCGGTTACGTTATCTACAGCCTGAATTCTTTCTGCCACTCTTCACCTCAACTGACGGTGTGCGTGAGCAGGACAGGAGAGACAGTGAGCCAGTTGTGGCGTGTGTGGTGAGTGCGCAGTGCGTGTGGCGAGTGTCTGATGTGTGTGGTGACTGCCTGGCGTGTGTGGTGAGTGCGTGATGTATGACAATTTCAGATTCAGAACACCAAGATTCTTTTCACGACCCCATACTAACTTTCAATGCCTTCAGCAAATGCATGGTAGCAGCAGATACATTTGCGATTACAGAAGAACCAAAGGAGCACCCAGTTCCGCTACCAACCATGCACTCACACCACACACGCCCACCTAACTCTTTCACCCACACACACCACCTAACCCTTCCACCCCCCCACACACACATACCTCTCCCAGCAGCATCACCAGGACAGAACTAAGCAACCAAGTTTGCAAACCGTGCCACTTGCAAGCCACATCAGCAGCAACAGACAGAAGGGACCGCAGCAGCAGGCAGAAGCACCGACAGCAGTGGAGGCAACAGCAGCAGCAGGAGCAGCGTATGGAGTGCCTTGTCTGCCGCTGCAGAACCCCACTGCACCGAGCTGCTACCAGCAGCAGGCACCATACCAGCTGCGCTGCTGCCCTGCCTGCCGCTGCCCAACTCCACTCCGCCGTGCCTCTCACCCCTCCAATCTCCCCTCTCCCACTTAGATCATCGTTTTCGCGGTCTTGACGAACGAGCCAGCGCCCGCCTGCAGGGCACCCTTGGCGCCCTTGCCGCTGCGGAACGCGTTGACTGCAGCCGTGAGCGCCTCCTTGCCGCCCTTCTTCACCACATTCTTCACCAACCCTCCCGCCTTCTGCCCCGCCTCGCTCTTCGCCGCCTGATTCGCCGCGTTCTTGATCTTCTTCCAGCTCAGCAGCACCCGCACCGCCTCGTCCAGCCCGTCGTCCGTCGCCTCCCCCACCTCCTCCTCCTCGCCACCCACGTCCAGGTCACCGCCGCTCGCTTCCAGCAGCTTGCGCCCCCAACTCGCCGCGTCCTCGCCCGCGCTTCCCCCAGCAGCGACGTCGCCCCGCAGTGGCGTGGACGCGGCATAGAGTGCGGGGAGCGAGACGAGGACCAAGGCGAGGATGAACACGGTGCGAAGAGTGGCCATGGTGACGAGCGATTTAGAGAGCGTAGAAGCGTCGGATTATAGAAGAGAGCACTGCGAACGACGATAAAGATCAGATTTGGGTGACTTTCGAGCCCTGAGAGAAGCACTCGGTTGGTGATGGTGAATGGCGGAATGGAAGCGACTTAAGTAGCGGCGAAAGACCAGGAGGAGGAGGAGGCGAGCACGATGGTCGCCAGCACGATGGTCGCCAGCATGATGGTCGCCAGCATGATGGTCGCCAGCATGATGGTCGCCAGCATGATGGCCCCCTCCCAGCATCGCGCGGTTATCGCTGGCATGGCTCCGCCGCAAAACGCGCAACATCCGGAGAAAGCTGTACTACTTCTGGGGTGTGGCAGAGGCAATCGAGTTGGACGGCAGCGCGGCAATAATGGCTTGATTCAACTCATCGCCTCACTGGCATAGGGTCTCGCCTCGCCAGATCGCCAACAAGGGATTTTTTAGAGAGCAGAAGGTGAGGGTTGGGTGGGGAGGAGAGGAGAGGAGAGTGCCGTCTGTACCGTCGTACGCAGTAACCTAGTTCTCTCATTATTGTTCGCATCATGGCGCCGCAAAATGCGCAAAGAGAAACTGTCGCGTGGGGCGTTGGATGCGGCACGCTGGTCAACGAGGACTTGAGTCGAGAGCTCAATGCCAAGAGAGCTCCGAGACCAGCGGCGGCAATAATGGCTTCTGGTGGGAAAGAGTTTTTCGAAGGGGACGAAGCAGGGGTGTTCGGGAGCGCGTTCAGCGGGAGAATGGCTTGTTTGCGAACCAGCACTAGTCGAACACCAGCCACTTCGATAATGCGTTGGCGAACGACTCGACGAGAAGCGAAACCAGTTACTTTTGTAAAAATGGCCGGGCGATCGAAACTTCCAGTGTTCAAACGCAGCGTCTAGAACAGGCCTCCGAACGAAGCCCAGGTACTTCTCGTTTCGTTTCTCGTCGACCAATTCGCTGATACTTTGTTGGGCTGGCTGCTTTCGTTGGGATCGAGCTGCCTGGGAAACCAGCCCCGAGTCCCGACCCGAGTCCCCGAGCACTCCTCCATCCATCCTCCCCTCCACAAACAAGTACCCGCTGAGAGCCATTCTTCCCGCGCTGCTGTTGATCTCGAAGCTTCCTCACTTGCACCATTAGCTCTCAAACCCAGGAGCACAGCAGCGTGTGTCCTCGTTACCAGCGTAGCATCCCAACGCCTCACGCGGCAGTCGCTCTTTGCGCATTGTGCGGCGCCATGATGCGAGCAATAACTGCGAGTTTCTGGAATGAAAGAACTAGGTTTATGCCGCTACGGTACAGACGGCGCACTCCTCTCTCCCCACCCAACCCTCGCTTCCTGCTCTCGAAATCTCTCGAAAATCACCTCCTTGGCGATCTGACGAGCCCATTGTTTTGAATGAACTAGCAGCCATTATTGCGGCCGCGCTGCCGTTCATCTCCGACTCAAAATCTATCCTAGCACGAGCGCGCTAGCGTGCAGAGCAGTAGCTTTCTCCGCATGATGCGCGTTGTGCGGTGGCGCCATGCCAGCAATAACCGCGGGCTGCTGGGTGGAGTGCCATCATGCTGGCGACGCACCACGGATCCCTTCACCACCCTCGCGGCCTCCTCCTCGTCTTTCGCTACTTAAACCGCCTCAATCCAACCAATCACCATTGCCAACTGAGTTGCTTCTCTCAGTGCTGAAAAAACCAGCCGAATCTGATCCTCATCATCGCTCGCAGTGTTAATCTCTAGAATCCGGCGCGACCGTTACCATGGCTTCTCTTCGCTCCTTGTTCGTCCTCGCTCTGATCCTCGTCTCCCTTCCCGCACTCTACGCCGCGTCCGCGCCACTGCGGGGCGATGTCGCTGCTGGGGGAAGCGCTGGCGAGGACGCGGCGAGTTGGGGCCGCATGCTGCTGGAAGCGAGCGGCGGTGACGTGGACGTGGGTGTCGAGGAGGAGGAGGTGGGGGAGGCGACGGACGGGCTGGACGAGGCGGTGCGGGTGCTGCTGAGCTGGAAGAAGATCAAGAACGGGATCAAGAACGCGGCGGGCAAGGCGGGAGGGCTGGCGAAGAAGGTGGTGCAGAAGGGCGGCGTTGAAGCGCTCAAGGCGGCGGCCAAGGGGTACAGCAACGGCGGCATGAAGGGCGCGCTCAAGGCCGGCGGTACCTCGTTTGCTAGCACAGCAAAAACCATGGCGTAGGGTGAGGCGGGCGAGACGGTGGTGCGTGCTGCTGCTGGTGGCAACATGGTGCAGTGGAGTTCTGCCAGCTGAGCTGACGTGGGGTTGTAGAAAGGCGTTGTGCTGCTGCTGTTGACGGTTGCTTGGTGATGCTGCGTATGTGTGTTGGGGAAAGGGGGGTTGTGTGAGGGTGGGAGGGTTAAATAGGTGGGCTTGTCTGCAGGGTTGGTGGATTTTGGTGTAGTGTGTGTAGCTTTTGTGATGCTGTAATTTCAGATACATCTTCTATTTTGCTGAAGCCTAGTGTTGACTGTGGAAGGCGTCCTGAACATGAATCCGTCACTCTGCAAGCACTCACCAAGCACAATAGGCATTTGCCTAGAATCTGAATTGAAATAAATTAATTTGCCCTAACAAATTTCATAGCACAAGCAAGTATCATACGGTAATATATCTACCAGTCTATAGAAGGACTTGGGTTTTTAGTTTATCGAGAAGCACTACTGGACAAAATTTGCTCCGAAGGCACTGTTAGCGCTGCTGGGGACTAGTTACGTGGATTTTCAATCTGAGAGCGTTCACTTCTTACGCTCAAAAGGAATTCCGACCCTGATTGGTTAAAACAACAAACAGACGATGATCGTCCGGATAGACGGTCATCGTCCACGTCGACCGGTCAACGTCATTATTCGGGCAAAAAAATATACCCTCTTAGGTTGTTTGCCATTCAGGGAGTCATCAACCCTAAACACCAAGCGGCAAGGTGTTTAGGGTTGATGCTGCTCATTGGTGTGTATTATTTTTTCCTGGCGAATTTTTGGGAGGGGTCAACCCTAAACACGGGAACCCGTTTGGTGTTTAGGTAAGATCCATTACCATCGGGTTTGTTTTTTTAGTACACATTTTCGAGTGAGATCAATCCTAAACACTTGCCACATGGTGTTTTGGGTTGATACTTCCCCAATCGGATTTTAGACCAATCCCTTTCGACTTCCGAACGAGCATAATAAGTGAACGCTCTCAGATTGGAAATCCACGTAACTAGTCCCCAGCAGCGCTAACAGTGTCTTCGGAACGAAGTTCGTCCAGTAGTACTTCTCGATTACCTTAAAACCCGAAGGACTTCTACAGACGTAAACAAACATGACCCGCCCAAGTACAGCGATTAGGACACGGCACCTCAAGCAATTTTGCACGATCGATCGCAGGATCGCTGATTCAACCGTACTGAAATTCTGCTGAAAGCTTTTAAAGCTTTTGAAACCATTCAAAACTCCTAAAACATTCGATCCTGCGCATGATCGATCATAGGATCGGTGCTGGAGGTGCCGCGTCCTCATGTTCACAAAAGCGGCGTGAACTGTCGACACGCTACTGTACTACCCACGCTATTGTCCTCTGCAACCCACAGAACCAGACTCTGTAATAAAACAATCTCAGCGGCGGTACTCTCCTTCAACCACGCCTCACTGTGAATATTCACAATCGTAGGTGAAGTGTACTGAAGGCAGCTTCTGAATTCTTGCAGCCCGTTAGAGGCACGCACGTATGGCTCCTCCAATGGCCAACGCCGTCGCTGATCGCGGCGACGGATACCGCCGTGCTCCGCTTAAGCTCTCTCCGTCCGAGGATTCATTCGGGTTCGCAACAGCGTCGGTCGCGCAAAATCCTTTTGAGGCGCCTCAGAAGTCCCGCCGAGCTCCGCCGCCTGAACACGCCACTCCGGCGTGCAAAGATTCGTGCGAGTTCGCAAAGTCGGTCGCGCAGGAGCTTCAGGAGGTGGAGCTGCTCGTCGCGCGCGTTAAATCGCAGCCGAATCCGCCTGTGGCCCTCCGAGACCTCGCGTTCCACGTGGAACAAATAGCTCGCGTACGGATTCCGTGGCCGTGGCCTACAGATTTGCTGTCCCGTTCAGAATTCCTTACTTTGGTCACGCGAACATGATTCTAGTAGCTGCAGTAAACGGCGTTTTTTTTTTTTTTTTTTTTTCCAGTTGCCTGCTTTTCATGAATGCTGTTCGTCTCCGCTGTCACTTTTCTGACGAGAATATCCATGTGGTGGTTTCTCACGTGATGTCGGAATGGCATGATATCGTATGGCATTGCGTGGCATGGTATTGTATCACACTACATGGCATGGCGTCGAGTGGCATTGAATGGCATGGCACTGCATGTCATTGCATGGCATTGCGTGTCATTGCGTGTCATTGCGTGTCATTGCGTATCATGTTAACTTGTTAGTCTCTAGAAACGGACCTCCGGCGTGACTTGGAGCCTATAGACCTCTTGAAGCGATCCACCTTCAAACGCGGACAAGGGTGAGTGAGGTCTTAAGAACACGATGCACATCTTCGTTTTGAGTACAGCACTTTCTCGACAGCAACCTCGTACGTAGCAGCAGTCAGGCTGTGACATTCATGATGGGTCCCTCTATAACGGGTCTGTGACACCCCAGTGGGTCCGTCTATACCAGCAGGATGACATTCAGTGAGTCTTTCTATACCACGTACCCTCACCTTACCCTCCCTCCTTCACTTCCCCCCCACAGGGCCATCAGCTCTCTGCATGCTCTTCACACCATCGCTGCCAGCTTAATTCCTACCGCCACCTCTCTGCTCCCTCCGCCTGACGGACCAGAGGTCAGCGGAGCAGCGGCAGCAGCGGCGGGAGCAGCAAGGGCAGCAGCAGGAGGAGGAGCAACAGCAGGAGCAGCAGAAAGGCAAGTTGCAGCAGGGGAGGCACGGGCGGTGGTGAACGCTCACACGGTGGATGTGCTGCTGTCGTGCCTGCACAGCACTGCAAGCCAGAACACTGTGAGTGAGTGGGTGAGTGAGTGATGGGCAGTGCAGACAGTAACATAAATGTGACAGATGGTACCCGGTGATAAGTAGTAACAGGCAATGAACAGTGGCAGTCTGGTTGTTGGACGGAGTGACAGCTGGCTAACAGGTTCCGTTCTGGCGATGACGTCCCGTGGCATGACAAGGCTGTGGCATGACAGGGCGGTGGCATCATACGGCATGGTAAGGGCGGCCCCGGACCAACCGTGCAACGGGCCGAGCCAAGGCCAGTGGGCCTCACCTACTTACAGGCTCCGTCGTCACGGAATGAAGTTCCACCGCCCTCATTCGTGGCCTGTCCAAAAATTACGGACCAGGCCGGCCCAGCCGAGGTGACTTTAGAGATGACTCAAAAGTCCCAAATGACGGACCAGGCCCGGCCCAGCCAAGTTTCACTGACTTGCCTCATTGAGGCACTCTCACAACTGCTGCTGTGCACACTGCCGTGTTTCATTGGCGACTGAGTGGGTGCTTTCCTGTGAATGGCAACCTCCTCTTCGATACTCCCCCCTCCTCTCCCCCCTCTTCTCGCCTCTCTTCTCCCCCCTCTTCTCCCCCCTCTTCTCCCCCCTCTTCTCCCCTCTCTTCTCCCCCCTCTTCTCCCCCCTCTTCTCCCCCCTCTTCTCCCCTCTCTTCTCCCCCCTCTTCTCCCCCCTCTTCTCCCCCCTCTTCTCCCCTCTCTTCCCCCCCCTCTTCTCCCCCCTCTTCTCCCCCCTCTTCTCCCCTCTCTTCTCCCCCCTCTTCTCCCCCCTCTTCTCCCCCCTCCTCTCCCCCCTCCTCTCCCCCCTCCTCTCCCCCCTCCTCTCCCCCCTCCTCTCCCCCCTCCTTTCCCCCATCCTCTCCCCCCTCCTCTCCCCCCTCCTCTCCCCCCTCCTCTCCCCCCTCCTCTCCCCCCTCCTCTCCGCCTTCCTCTCCCCCCTCCTGCCCCACTCTCTTCTCCTGCCCTTCTCGCTGCACGCCCACACCTGCTGCTCTCCGTCGTTGACTGCTGGGCCCTCCCCTCGGGGTGTGAAGGCAAACCATCTCCTCCTCCATACCCTTCCTCTCCGCCCTCTTCCCCTGCCCTCCTCGCAGCATGCACACTTCACAGTGCTGCGCCTGCTGCTCTCGTCGCTGCACATGCTGCTCAGCTGGATTGACGACTGGGTGCTCAAGGGGAAGCGCCATCCTGCTTTGAAACAGGAGGTGAGCTGTCGGTGCTGAGCTAAGGATGCTGAGCTGTCTATGCTGAGCTGTGGATGCTGAGCTGTGGATGCTGAGCTGTCTATGCTGAGCTGTGGATGCTGAGCTGTGGATGCTGAGCTGTCTATGCTGAGCTGTGCGATGCTTAGCTGTGCGATGCTGAGCTGTGCAATGCTGAGCTGTGCGATGCTGAGCTGTGCAATGCTGAGCTGTGCGATGCTGATGCTGAGCTGGCTGGTGGCAAGTGGCAGAGATGTTTTTGCCACCCGCTCTGCTGCCCTGGCGAGCGCAATATAGAGGGACAGCTAGCGTGCTCTAAAACCACTAATGGCCTTGTTTTGAGCTGCGATTCTTGGTCTGGTGTGGTGTGGTGTGGTGTGGTTTGGTGTAGGGATTCCAATGATGCAGTCATAACGTGCGTGCAACACATGGCACTCGTAGCTTCAGAGTCGATTCTAAAGTCACCTCTGTGGGGTCACTCATGATGCCAAGCGTGCCATGCATCACATCACAACACATCACATCACAACACATCACATCACATCACAACACATCACAACACATCACATCACATCACATCACATCACAACACATCACATCACAACACATCACATCACAACACATCACATCACAACACATCACATCACAACACATCACATCACATCACAACACATCACATCACAACACATCACATCACAACACATCACATCACAACACATCACATCACAACACATCACATCACAACACATCACATCACAACACATCACATCACAACACATCACATCACAACACATCACATCACAACACATCACATCACAACACATCACATCACAACACATCACATCACAACACATCACATCACAACACATCACATCACAACACATCACATCACAACACATCACATCACAACACATCACATCACAACACATCACATCACAACACATCACATCACAACACATCACATCACAACACATCACATCACAACACATCACATCACAACACATCACATCACAACACATCACATCACAACACATCACATCACAACACATCACATCACAACACATCACATCACAACATATCACATCACAACACATCACATCACAACACATCACATCACAACACATCACATCACAACACAGCACGTCACATCACAACACGTCACATCACATCACAACACGTCACATCACAACACAACACGTCACATCACAACACATCACGTCACATCACTCTCTTAGGCTTCCCTGGATTCTCTTTCCTTTCCTCCTTCCCATCAGCAGTCATGTATACCACATTCATGTGTAGAAAGTGACTCTCATTCTTCAGTTCTGCTTTCGTTTGCGTGCGTGTATGTGCATGTGTGTGACATGCCCGTCACATGCACTTGACATGCGTTTGACATGTGCGTGCATGGCATGTGCGTGGTTGCATGGCATGTGCGTGGTTGCATGGCATGCGCGTGACTTGCATGGGACATGTGCATGGCATGGCGTGTGGCCTGTGCGCGCATGGCATGTGGCGTGTGCGTGCATGGTGTGCATGTGTGTGCCATCTTGCTGTACAGTTTCTTTCCAAGCATGAGCTTCGGCCGATCCCTGCCAGCCCCGTGCCATCTCCTCGCACCACTGCAGCCTCTTCCCCACCCACTACTCCCACCACCACCACCACTGTCCCCACTACCCCCATTACCGCTGCTACCACCACCACCACTGCCACTACAAGCACCACTATCACCACTGCCCCCACTGCCCCCACGGCCCCCATGAGTACCACAGAGGGCTGGCCCAGCATACCCACCACCCCCGGCACTGCCCCTGCCACCCCCCTGCACCCCCACTGGCCGGCGTTTCTTGTCCCGGTGCTGGCAGACATACAGGCCGCAGAGCAGGGCGTGGTGTTCCTGAAGCACATGCAGGCGCGGGGGCGGACGCAGGGCGCGGAGCAGGGGAGTAGGGGAGGTGGGAGCGGAGGGAAGGGTAGTGGGGGAGGCGGGGGCGTGGGGAAGGGAACAGGGAGAGGGGGGAGCATGGGGAAGGGAAGGGGGAGAAGGGCGGGCCGGGGGCAGGGTGTGGAGGGACAGCAGGAGCAGCAGCGAGTGGGCAATAAGGGTGCGGGTACTGCCTTCTCCTCGTCCTTCTCCTCCTCCCCCCCCTCCACGTGCCTTGACTCGCCTGCTGCCAAGCGGCTCATCTCCACGCACGTATACCGTGCTCTCTACACACACCTGCAACCCAGTGCGGTACAGTCCGGTGCAGAGCAGTCCTCCTCCTCGTTCGCTTCCTCCTCGTATGCCTCCTCGCCCTCCTCCTCGTCACCGTCAGTGCCGTTGTCTCCATTGTCCCCATCGTCCCCCTCGGTGGCGTCTGTGGCATCATTAGCATCGCTGTCAGCTGCGTCTGAGACAGGATCAGAAGAGAAATACTCGGTGGAGGAAGGACTTTTTGAAGAAGAGTACTTGGAGCAAGGGCATTCGGTGGAGAAGGAGGAAGAGACAAGGTGGTGGGATGAGGTGCATGAAAGAGGTGTGGCAAGGGGATCCGCAGCAGCAGATGCTGGGGCGGCAGGATGGGGAGGAGAGGGAGGTGGCGGGGCGGGAGGAGGGTACGAGGCGTCTTACTGGCTGTGGAGGGGCGGTGTGGATGACACAGCAGACTGGATGGAGCTGGTGAGAAGAGAGGGATGCAAAGGGGTGGAGGGGTAAAAGGGGTGGTTCGAGGGATGCACGAGGTGGTGAGAGGATTGGTGAGACAGACTCGAGGGGTAGTGCAGTGATTTGAGTACATGATCTCTCTGTGTCCTTTGCTCCTATAGCTGCAGCCTATCATCTTGCACATCCTTCTCACACATCTTGCACATCCTTCTCACACATCTTGCACATCCTTCTCACACATCTTGCACATCCTTCTCACACATCTTGCACATCCTTCTCACACATCTTGCACATCCTTCTCACACATCTTGCACATCCGCCTCACTTCTCAGAGATCCCATGTTGGAGCTCCCAACCGTTTTCCCCCCTCCCTATTCATCCATCCATCCATCCATCCATCCATCCATCCATCCATCCATCCATCCATCCATCCATCCATCCATCCATCCATCCATCCATCCATCCATCCATCCATCCATCCATCCATCCATCCATCCATCCCCCTCCCATATGTTCACCCCATTGTCAACGAGCACAGTTGGAGGAGCAAGTGAGGCTGGGACAATTGAGAGGGGGAGAGAGTAGGGGAGGGGAGGAGGAGGAGGAGGAGGAGGAGGAGGAGGAGGAGGAGGAGGAGGAGGAGGAGGAGGAGGAGGAGGAGGAGGAGGAGGAGGAGGAGGAGGAGAGAAGGGAGGAGGAGCAGCAGCAGGAGGAAGGGGAGGAATGGTTGGAAGGGAACAAGGCAGTAACTGCACACGAGGCTCAGCTCCGCCTCATGCTCTGGCTCAAGTCCTCTTGTGACGCTTCAGAGGAGTGTGGTGGTGGTGGCGGTGGTGGTGGGAAAAGAGAGGCGGCCTGTGGTACGGATAGAGTTTTGGATGATCCGACTCGCCTGCTGCAGCAATGGATACATCCTCCCATTCAAGCGTGGGTGAGTGAGCGAGCGAGTTTTGAGCTCATCCAAACTGCACCTACTCTCGAACTGCACCTACACTCAAACTGCACCTTCCACCCCTTTCCACCCCTTTCCACTCCCCATCCACCTTCAAATGGCATCGTTGGCCATGCCTGCCCACGTCCTCATCATACCTCTCCCTTCCACTCCACATCTTTTCTCCTGCACGCGGCATAGGTGGCAGCAGACACGGTGCACTGTTCTCAAGATGCACTGTTCCCCTCGCCCATTTCCCACCCTTGCCCCCATCACCGTCCCCACATTCTCATCCCACCCTACTGCAGGCGACATTTGGTGGCAGCAGACGCAGTGCGATGCCTCAAGTTGCACTGCGGCATCATTGACCTCCCCCTTCCCCCGCATCCTCTTCGTACCACTCCCCATCGGCTCTCCTGCAGGCCGTGCTGGTGGCAGCAGACACGGTGAGATGCCTCAAGATGCACTGCGGCATCATGGGGACGCTTGAGGCCTTGAGGGACCTCTTCTTCATCGGTGGAGGTAACTTGCATATGCATTTCACTCGTCTCAAGTCTCGACCCACCCTTCCGTTTCTGCAGTGCTGTACTTTCTTGGTCCGACCCTAGAGCCCTTGAGAGGCCTTCTTTTGTGGATTCAGTAGATCTTAACCACCATCCTCCCCCCTCTTTGCTGCTCTCCCTTTCCTGTCTGTGTGCCGTGCAAGAGGAGAAGGTAAGACGTGTGAGAATCTTTTGAGGCGCCTCAAAACAAGACTTCTCCCTTCCCTGTCTGTCTGCCGTGCAAGATGAGAAGGTAGGACCCAAATCCTCGAGCTGCAGGGTGTTTTTGAGAATTCTCAAAAACACCCAAACCCTCGGGGCTTTGTCAGGCATGACTTTAAAACCCAAACCCCGCTGGTGGAATGTTTTCGAGTCTTTTATGGCATCTGTGATTAGGCGTTGAGACGAATTTTGAAAAGCGTCAACACTCACTTGGATGATAAAGCTCACCCTCAATAGGTAAGGCGCAATCACAGATTCCATATCATCAGAGCCTGAACGTTGGCCGGACTCCTGGGTGTTCAGGCCTGATAGCAAAGCCTCAAGTAGTGCGGCGTCAAACAGTTAGGAGTCGGGCTATACCAGCACTGCTTCTCCACTTTCCCATACGTGCTCCCTCCCTCGCAGTATCGGTGGCGCCTGTGTTCCTGGGGGAGCTGTGGAAGCAGATGCGCACCAACGTGCTGCTGCCGGCACACACCACCGAATCCCTGCAGCAACTCATGGATGTGAGTGACATGAGTGGCGTGAGTGGCGTGAGCGGGTGAGTGGTGTGAGTGGTGTGAATGTAGGTGTGTTTTGGGTGGACACGGAACGCAGCAACGTGCTGCTGGCACACAGCAGCGAGTCACTGCAGCAACTCATGGACGTGAGTGGCGTGATGAGGAGTGGCAGGCAGGTAGACAAGCCATCATGCACATGGATGGTGTATACGTGGACGTGAGTGCCTTACGAGATGAATGGCTTGGGTGATGGTTGCGCATGGATGGTGTGTGAGCACACGTGATTAACATGACTGTACATACATGAATGGATGGTTCAGTAGACCCACCAGCCCCCCTTGACTCGCGTCCCTCTCGCGCCCCCACGGACAGACCCCCATGCATTGATGCAAGCTCACCTGCTGTGAGTGGTGCGTGCCGTGCCGACCATCAGGTCCTCTGTCAGGAAGCCCACAAGCTTGAGTCGACCCACCAGCCTGTCCAAGAAGCCGCGATGGCTGCAATTACATGAGTTCTGCCGTATCTCGTTCTCCTTCCTCCGTCATCCAACGTCTCGTGCTCTCTCTCTCTCGCAGCTTCTGCTTCGAAGCAAGCCTTATGTCCTGCTCCATGCGAAAGCATCTGTCCCTCTCTCTCTTCCTCCTTCCCTTCCTCCCTCCGTCTACCTACAGCTTCGCCTCGTCACAACCCATCCCAGTCGCCCCCTCACGACCCCCTCTCTATTTCCTCCGCCCATCTCACCTTCAACCCTCCCTCCTACCTGCTCCTCCTGCTCCCTCTCTTACCCCCCTCCTCCCTCCCTTTGCTGCCTACAGGGATTCCTCGCTACAGCAGCACATGGCCACACCTCTCCTCCACCCTTCAATACAATCACTGTCACTCTACACAACAAACCCTCTAACTCCCCCACTTCCACAAACACACACTCTCTCCTCCACTCACCCTCACCCTCCACCACCCCAACCATTGATCTAGCACCTGCCACACCATCAAATTCCTTTCTTCCTTACACCACTTCCGTTGCCGCGCCTTCTGCCGCGCCTTCTGCCGCGCTTTCTGCCTATGCCAAGCCGTTCGGCTCCCAACCTACTAGCACGGCCGAACCTGCAACTCCCGCCAGGTTCACTGCCCATGCCGGACCTGTACCCCACGCCCTACCCCCAGCCTCGGTGTCATCCAAACCTTTCGCCGGACCTACTGGACCCTTTTTGCTTGCCGGACCTATGGGTCGTGCCGGGGCTGGTGGCGCGTCAGGTGTCAAGGCCTCAACAACCATGCCCAGGCCTGGAGGTTCGGGGAGCGGAGGTGGTTCGGCGATGCAGGTTCGGGTGACAGCAATGATGGAGCTGCTGGAAAGAATCCACATGAAGCCTGAGGTTAGTGCTTGTACTCTTTAGTGCTTATAGGCTAGGCTCACACTGGCTGCCTGGTTCATTGATACTGCTTACGCACTCCCCCCCCCCAACCCCCCCACCCCCTCTTTTTTTAAGGTTTTGTTTGGCCTTTTTCTTGTTGTCTGGGGGGCAGCTCAGGGAACTTGTGTTGTTTGCCTTTGTGGCGCTTTAAAAGGAGAGTCATTGCTTTATACAAGTGGGTTCTACCGCCTTCCAGGAAAGTAGAGAGTAGGTGGCAGCAGGTGCGCACTTGCAATCATGTGCTTTCATCCATCCCACCTGTGCCGTCACCTTCTCGCCATGTGCGTGTGTGTGTGTCCTCTGTCTGTGCTGTATTGTATGTGTTTAACCTTACTGGATGTATGTATGTTCCTCTACCGTCTGTCATATGTCCTTCATTCACTAGAGAGTTTTCTCTTCATTGGCAGAGCTGACATGAGAGAGTAACACAAGCTTTTCTCTTCACTGGTAGTGCTGTGCTGACATGAGAGAGTAACAGATGTTTTTCTCTTCACTGGTAGCGCTGACATACCAATGAAGAACCCTCTCTCATGCAGCTGTGCGCATGGGGTGCAAGCAACCAGATGTTTGATTCTTCATCATCAGCATCAGCACACGCACGGCATCCGCCAACTCTCTCACGCACACGGCTTCATGCACAACTTCTCTCCTTCCATCCATCCTGCCTTGTCCGTTTCTCGACTTTCTCACTCACCCTTCCCCAGCTTTACTGGAACGGCCTTTCAAGCTTCTCAACTGTTGAGGCGCCTCAAAAGCCTTCCCCAGCTTTACTGGAACGGCTTTTCAAGCTTCTTAATGCAATCCGCTCCACCCTCCCTCCCTCCCTCCGCCCCCCTGCCTGCCCGCCTGGCAGCTGGAGTGGCCTCTAGACTTCCTCATGCGCCCTGCAGCATGCGCCAAGTACAACCAGGTGTGTGTGTGGACTGTAAGCACCTGTTGGAGCTATTAAAACTGATCCTCACTCAGTGTGGAACAGATGAATTCTGAGACGTCTCAAAACCAGGTGCGTGTGTGTGTGTGTGGACTGTAAGCATCTGTTCGAGCTCTCAGAAGTGACCCTCACTCAGCTTGCAACAGATGAATGCATGCAACCAGGAATGTAGTAAAAGGGATCCTCCCATGAATGCAACAGAAGCACGAGAGCTATGCACACACTATGCTTGGCTTGGCTGCCACTAGCCAGCAGCTGGTTACACATGCACTCAGCTTCAACTTCCTCCCCCTTAAAAGCTTCGACTTCTTCCTTACATACCCAGCCTTTGACCGCCACCACACCACCTCATGGCGCTGTCAGAATATTATGTTTCTCTAGTCTGCAGTGGGGTACTCTATAGTGAGTACAACCCTTTTAGGGTTGGCTATATGTATCCCAATGTTTGCTAGTGAACCTCTCCTCTTCTTCATCCCTCATTTCTTCACATGCTATCAGAGCATCTACGCTCCTGGCCTGTGGCCCACCTAACTGCTTCCGCTGCTACTCTGTCTTCTGCACGCCCCGTGGCGTGCCCCTCGCGCGACCCTTAGCAGCCCTGTCGCCACCTCTACCGGCCCCGTCGCCGCCCTTCTCGGCCCCTCGCGGCCCCTTTGCGGCCCCGTCGCCGCCCCTTCGCGGCCCCGTCGCCGCCCCTTAGCGGCCCCGTCGCCGCCCCTAGCGGCCCGTCGCCGCCCTTCCAGGCCCCTCGCGGCCCCTTCGCAGCCCCGTCGCCGCCCCTATTGGCCCCGTCGCCGCCTCCAGCGGCCTCTTCGCCGCCCCTTCGCGGCCCCGTCGCCGCCCCTAGCGGCCCGTCGCCGCCCTTCCAGGCCCCTCGCGGCCCCTTCGCGGCCCTGTCGCCACCCCAATCGGCCCCGTCGCCGCCTCCAGCGGCCCCGTCGCCGCCCCTAGCAGTCCCGTCGCCGCCCTTCCAGGCCCCTCGCGGCCCCTTCGCGGCCCCGTCGCCGCCCCTTCGCGGCCCCGTCGCCGCCCCTAGCGGCCCGTCGCCGCCCTTCCAGGCCCCTCGCGGCCCCTTCGCGGCCCCGTCGCCGCCCCTACTGGCCCCGTCGCCACCTCCAGCGGCCTCGTCGCCGCCCCTTCGCGGCCCCGTCGCCGCCCCTAGCGGCCCGTTGCCGCCCTTCCATGCCTCGCGGCCCCTTCGCAGCCCCGTCGCCGCCCCAATCGGCCCCGTCGCCGCCTCCAGCGGCCCCGTCGCCGCCCCTAGCGGTCCCGTCGCCGCCCCTAGCGGCCCCGTCGCCGCCCTTCGCGGCCACGTCGCCGCCCTTCGCGGCCCCGTCGCCGCCCCTAGCGGCCCCGTCGCCGCTCTTCGCGGCCCCGTCGCCGCCTCTAGCGGCCCCGTCGGCGCCTCTACCGGCCCCGCCCCGGCCATGCTAGGTCGCCTGGCGCGGCGCACCGGGGACCCGTGCACCCCCCCCCCCCCCCTCTTTTCCCGTCGCCCGCCGCGGCTCCCTGGGGGGCCGACCGGGGGGGGGGGGGGCGAGCGTCGCCCCCTCTGCCGCCTGCTTTGGCGCCCTGGGAGGCCGCGCGTCGGCCCCCCCCCTTCCCCCCCCCCCCCCCCCCCCCCTGTAACCTCCCTACCCGCCATCCCGCCCTGCCCTGTGTTAGGGTTTGGGGGGTGGCGAGTAGGGGGTGGCGGGTGTGGTCTCCCCTGCTCCTCCTCCTCCTCTGTCTCCCACTACTGCAGCTGCCGCTGAGAGGGGTGGGTGTGTGGGAGTCAACGGAGTGGTGCTAGGGGTTGGGGTGTGAGTGAACCTAGGGTGCAGCAGGGGGTGTGTAAAAGGGGGGTGGGATAGTTTGGGGAGGTTGAAAGGGGGTGGCCGCCGTGAAGCCCACAGCTCCAGTCGCCCGTGAGACCGTTGCGCCAGTCGCCCGTGAGCCCGTTGCGCCAGTCGCCTGTGAGCCAGTTGCTCCAGTCGCCCGTGAGTCCGTTGCTCCTGCCGCTCAGAGTTAGCCGCGGAGTCAGTTACTGCAGTAGCCCGTGTGCCAGTTGCTCTAGTTGCTAGTGTGCCAGTTGCTCCAGTTGCCCGTGTGCCAGTTGCTCCAGTTGCGCCGTGTGCCAGCAGCTTCAGCTGCCGCCCACTACCTCCTCTCCTCTCATAGTCACTCTTCCTCCACACTTGCCCTCTGCGATAGCCTCTAGCTTTGCTTACATTTGTGAACTTTAAACTGTTGCTTCTTGTACTTGTGCTCAGAATGTGTGGTGACATTGTGATCCACCCTGAGCTTGTTCTGCTTTGCTTGTTGTGCTGATTACACCCCACTTTGACTATGGGGGTGTGTCAGAATATTATGTTTCTCTAGTCTGCAATGGGGTACTGTATAGTGAGTACAACCCTTTTAAGGTTGGCTATATGTATCCCAATGTTTGCTAGTGAACCTCTCCTCTTCTTCATCCCTCATTTCTTCACAGGCGCATGTCTCACTCTCCTGCATCATCTCTTTCATTATCTTTCTCAAGCTTTACCCACTCTGCCAAGGCTTCTGTCGGACTTCTTTCCCCTCATACCCCACTTTCTCTCCTCCACCCCTCTCCTGCTCTCGCTGCTCCCCCATCCTCTCCTCCCATCAGCTCTTCTCTTTCTTCTCCAAGCTCTCTCTCGCCAAGACGGCTCTCACCGCCACCAAATCACGCATGCTGCAGGTGAGAGACAGGGCGCTCATGCGTGGGGGGTTGCCGGAAATCTGATCTGAGTGGTGGGGGGATAAAGGCGGGATTGAGAGTATTGTGTAAAAGACATGCTGCATGCGTGCTCCGTGTGCAGGGCGGGGCGCACATGCATGGGGTGGGGGGTTGCTGGGAATCTGATCTGAGTGGTGAGGGGGTAAAGGCGGGATTGAGAGTGTTGTGTAATGGACATGCTGCATGGGTGGGAGGCAGTGGCAGAGCGGGGGGGTTCATTCAAAGGCTTTAAGTAACACCTGATACTTTCAGCTGCGTGCCTCTTTGTCAACAATCACGGGAGAGGCGAAGGGGTAGGGTAATCATGCAGTTGCAAGCATCATATGCCAACTAGTGTCCGCTTCATAACCGCCTCCTGCAGTCGCCCTGCACTCGCCCTGCACTCGCCCTGCACTCGCCAACCTCTCCCACTGTTTGGTCTCATGCGCCGTTCCAATCCAACCTCTCCCGCCCCTTTCTCTCATGCACCAAGCCACTGGAAGCACTCCCACGCCCCTGTGCTGTGCCCTATCGCATGGCAAGCTATGTTCGGAAAGACGCAGCTAGGACGCAGGACGCGCGTCCAGACGCAGGACGCACGTCGAAATTTTTTTCGGGCAGCCCGAAAAAAAAAATCGATTGCGATTTTGGCATTCGCGATTTCGACGCGAATGTCGAAATCGCGAAATTTCCCCATCCCAAGCCCAATTCGCCATTCAAAACCAGCCCCCCTAACATTCCCTAACAACTAAACCAAAATTGAATTTCACTCAAACCTCTCAACCACTTAGCATCTACGAATCCCAACCTTTGTAGCCCACCACCACCAAGCACATTTAGCATGGCAACCTTTTGTGGCTTCTCATTTTCCCCTCACCAATTCTCTTTCGTAAACCCATAGAGGTTTTAGGTCTTAGCTTAGCTTACCACCTAAACTCCGCTATGGCTTCCTCGAGCATTCCTTCTTCTTCCACCGCATCTAAGAGTGTTGAAAATTTTGTGGTTGGGGAAATTTTGTGGTATGACACCCCCCCCCCCCCCCCCCCCCCCCCTCTCCCAAGCCCTATACAATTTTTTTGGCCTGCCCGGGGGTTTTTTTTGCCCTGCCCGGGCTTGCGTCTTTTGGTGCGTCTTACAGGTCAAGGGTCAGCGTCCTGCGTCTGGACGCATGCGTCCAGGACGCAGGACGCGTCTTTCTGAACATAGATGGCAAGAGCGGCGCCTGCGGTGCTTCCGTGGTATGCCCATGGTGGCTTTTGACTCGACTCAAAAGTTGTCCTTTGTTTATCGCCCCCTCCCCCCTGTGTCCTGTGGCATTGCATGGCAGGAGCGGCGGTGCTTCCGTGTCATGCCCATGGCGGCGCAGAGGGAGCTGCTGATGGTGCAGCAGATGCAGCACGCCCTGCACGCCATCCACTCCTTCCTCATGGCCAATGTGCGTGGACAGTGCATGCAACACGCCACATGCACCACATGCACCACATGCACCACATGCACCACATGCACCACGCTCATCACATGCAGCACATGCAACACATGCACCACGTTCATCACATGCAGCACATGCAGCATTCCTTGCATGCCATCCATTCCTTCCTCATTTCTTGCATACCACCCTCTCTCCCTCTCTTCCCCAATCCTTCAATTTCCATCTCGAAGCCACTCACTTCTCCCTCCGCCATCCCATTCTTCTGTGCTCCATTCTTCACTCAGTCGCATCACACTCTCTTCCCCCTCATCACATTCTCTTCCCCTCCTTTCATCACACTCCCGTCCCCCTTTCCTCCCTGGCGGTGACAGCAGCATGGCACGAGCTACAGGCGGCCATGGGCAGAGCAGCAGCCGGGGTTGGGTGTTGAGTCAACTCCAAAGTCCCGTCTCCCGTTCCTCACATTCCCCTCCCTCTCCTCTCCCTTCCCAGGCAGTGACAGCAGCATGGCACGAGCTACAGGCGGCCATGGGCAGAGCAGCATCCGTGGCAGCAGTGGTGCATGCACACCACCACTACCTGCACTCCATCCTTGAGGGATGCTTCCTCATTAACTCCACCAACATGGTCAGTCAGTCCACGTCATAAGCTCTCCTGCTGCACTTCCGTTGCTCTCCTCCTCCTTATCCCTATCATCCGCTGTGCTGGTTACGACCATTGTAGAAACTCAAAACTCGAAACCCTATGGTCCGCTATGGCAAGAAGCTTGTATTTCGCATGCATCAACTGGGTGGCTTTTGAGTTAACTGTTAAGACGCTTCAACAGGTAAGCTGTGGATGAACCACCTATACGCTGTGGCAATCGGATTTTTAGTCGAGTCATACTTAGCAGCTAAATCAAACTGGGGATGAACTACCCACATGTTGTGGCAATCGATTCTGACAGGACAACAGTCTCCCAGCATCACTTGGATCTAACAATATTGCAGGTAGCAAGCCATCACCATCAGTCGACGCCGTAGTACTGTGTGGCATCCTCATTCGCACTTGAGGTGGACTGAAGCGCCATTTGAAGTTGTAATTGAATTGACTGTAATTACTCTTAGACTGGAGAGGGGCTTTAAAAAGGTGGAATTTTCACTCGCACTGAGTTGCTGCATTCCTCGCAGTCTGCATCCTCCTCCTCCTCTCTTCTCGCCCTTGGCCTCACCATTCAGACCTCTCAAACGTCGTCTCAGCTTCTCTTCTCCGCGTCTCCATTCCCCATGCAACCATCCACCCCTCCCGTGTTCCATGGCAATGTGCTTCAAACCATAACTGGCTGGGTAGTCTCTCTGTCGAGCAACGTGCGTGTGTTCTGCTCACCTTCTTTCCCCTCCCTCCACCCCATGCTGTCCTCACATCTTCCTCACCCCTCCAACTATCCACCCCAACCATTCATCAGGGCAAGGCCATCACGGGCCTGATAGTTTCTCTGTCCAGCTAGACCCTTCTCTTCTGCACGTCTTCCCTCCCCTCCCATCCGCACATCTTCCTTCCCCCTCCCCACCCACTATGCTCCTCGAATCAGGGCAGGGCCATCACGGGCCCGATAGGTTCTCTGTCCAGCAAGGCCCTTCTCTTCTGCGCACCGTCCTTCCCCTCCCACCACCCCACCTGTATGCACGTCGTTCCCCCTCCTACCACCCACCCCACCCCAACCACTCACCAGGGCAAGGCCATCACGGGCCTGACAGTCTCTCTGTCCTGCAAGACGCTTCTCTTCTGCGCACTCTACCACTCCCCTCCCATCCGAACATCTTCCTTCCCCCTCCCCACCCACTATGCCCCTCACATCAGGGCAAGGCCATCACGGGCCTGATAGTTTCTCTCTCCAGTAAGACCCTTCTCTTGTGCGCGCTTTACCACTCCCGCCGCTCACTGCAGCGCCCACACTCCATGCCATCACCCACCCCTTCCGCCACCGCATTCGCCACCATGCCTAGTGCTTTCAGCAGCACTCCAATGCGCACACACACAGCTAGCAGCAGCACTCCCATATACATGCCTGCGGCCAGCAGCAGCAGGGGGGGAGGAAGGGAGGAGAACAGCAAGGGGGGAGCAAGGGAGGAGAGAAGTGGCAGGGCGGCTGCGGAGGAGGCGGCAATCAATGCGGAGATTCAGCAGCTGGGAGATTTCTTCCATGCTGACGTGTCAGCCATCCTGCAGGTATGCCATGCTGATGTCAGACATCATAGGTGGGTCATGCTGGCGTGTCGGCCATTCAACCTTCGAAGTGAGATTGCTCGGAGAACAAGGCGGCATTGCATTGGCGCATGTAAGGCTTTCAGTGCTGTGGATGTCATTTGGAGATCTTGGTTACATTGGCATGGTCATCACAAATAGGCTACCTGAGAAAGCTGTGCATCTACCGTACCTACCTTGTCTCCTTGGTTAATCTCTAGCCATGGCTTACAATGTTGTTCCCTTTTATTCCATTAGAGGTGCTACCGTCGTCACACAACAACATACACATCACTACAGAGAATTTGCAAAAGTGGTTCCTCGCGTGTGTATGTTTCCTGATCGCATGGTATGCAGGTGGCTCGCAACCAAGCAGAGAAGTTGCCGTCGAGCATACGGGACCTTCTGCAGCAGCTGAATTATAACCGCTTCTACGGATGAAAACACTGTATTCTTTTATTAGTTACTCTAATAAATCGTTCATGTGGCCGCACAATAATAGGCTTCATTACTGATTTCAAACGTCAAAAGGCCTTCAAGAAAACCGTTTTCTGTTACTATGTATGTGGGAATGTTACGAGCTGATGCTACCTGGTTACCAACTCAACTCTGCGAGCCAGCTTTCGAGTTCTCCCGCCTCCTACATTCCCTCTTGTCAGACTCCTCGCTACTCGAGCCTCTCGCCACTTCGCCCTCTGGCGATCACGTCATGATCCTCTCGAGTCTTCAAGAGCACAGACAAGCTTTCCAAGACCATTCTGTCCCCTAGGAGCACATGCGAAGGTCATGACCAATTGCAAGCTCCTGCGCGCCAACACACTGGGCCTAGAGGCTGTCAGCAGGGCGACCTGTCACGCTCCAGAGCTCCTCCGTCCAGCCATCGGCCGCCGCGGCGCAGGCTGTTGCTTCCTCGCTTTTGCTTCCTCTTCAGCCGCCGCATTGCCAAAAGTATCCTCGTTTCTCGAAGCATCCGCTCCTAATTTCCTGCCGCTACAGCACGTCCTGTTACGGTAGCCGTCCTTGTAAATTAACCAGAGCTTCGAGCAGCAGCAGTCAGGACCCTAGCCGCGTTCGATTCTTCATTCCAAAGTAGACGACCCGACGACAGCGAAACCAGACTGACCGGCAGTAGTAGCAAACGGCTAGCCGGCAACATGGGCGACAATCTCTTCACTCTCTGGCCGTTCCTCATGGTCCTCATCGGCCTGTTCTTCGCCGTCAGTCTGCTCCGCAAACCGAAGTGGCGCGACGCGCACTGGTGGGTCTGGCTTTCCCTCGCCGCCACCATTCTCCACAATTTCGAGGAAACCGGCTTCGACATTCTCGGCCGTCGATTTCACATCCACGCGTTCGTCTGCGCTCGGCTGGGATTGTACCGCGCGGAGATCGCGCTGTGTCCCGCCGACGCTCCGTTCTTCTTCCTCGTGAATCTCGTGCACACGTGGCTGTTGACTACTATGGCGATTTCGACGGGGCCGCGACAGCCGCTCGGCGCGGCTATCGCCGTCGCGATCCCGCTTATCGACGCCGTTTCGCACGTGTTTTTCGCCGCCACTTCGCTCAGTTACAACCCTGGTCTGGTTTCCGCAATTCTCATCACCGGACCTGTAGGTTTGGGGTTCTTCCGAACCTGTCGGGAGCGGGGGTGGTTGCCGGACCAGCAGCAGTCGGTAGCCTTGGCATGTGGAGCGCTGGTATTGGTCAGTTTCTGGTTCGGATTAGCTTTGGCAGCGGCAGGGCGGGTGAGTAAACCGGCGCTGTGGTGGGGTGAAATGGCGAAGGGGTTTCTGCCGCTGCTGGCACTGCTGTTCAGAAGAATACCGCTCGTTAAAATGTACTCCATGACTGAGTAATGATGGTAAAGAGTGTTGGAAACAATAAGTCCTAAGTGCGCTTCTGTCGTATCAAAACCCAAGGCACCAAGCGAAGCAGTCCCAATCGGAGCATCGAGTCAACCTCGGAGGTTAGGGTAACCGCCTGGAGGTTACGAGAAAGTCAAAGGTCGCTGACCTTTGACTCGACAAATACAGCGCGACAGTTAAGGACACACAACTGACTCGCTACAGAGCAGTTGCCCGAGTCGCACTGTATCGAACCGCAACAGCAATACAGTTATCTACATATCTATTCGTATTCCCTGTACTCTTATATAAATCCTTGTATTTGCTTGTTTAATTCAATCAACTTTGCTCTCACACACCAGTGCAAGGTCGGTTCAAATTCTTCACTAAACGCTTCCGCTATTACAACTACTTCACCTAAAGTTATCCCTTGCAAAGATCCTAAGGGGCTATCTCAGCCCAACATGGTATGAGAGCTGACAAGGGAAACTCTACTCCTTTTTCAAGATCATTACAAGACATGGCAACAAACAAGGAAAGGAGCTCCCCTAATGGCTCCTCGGGCACTACTCCTACTCCACCGCCAGCCTCTGGCCTGCAGACAGAAGAAGGCACGGCAACAAGACCAAGAGGAACGTCAACCGAAACCCCCATGAACCACCCTTCGGACTTTGACCAGAACATGATGGAGAAATTTTTCTCCTTCATGTCCTTCTACGAACAACACCAGCAGTCGGGACCTGCACAAACACACAACAGCAACAATGGAGCGACACCCATGAGTCTTGATGGGTCGTCATATGCGCGAGGAAACCAGCAGCAGCAACCTACCTTTGCTCCGTACGAGCGCGGGTCAATCAGCTTCGTGCCCCACCCGCAACCTTCAACTGGACAAGAAAGACCACTGGACGCACTTCAAGTTCAGTCGCAGTTTGCACACGTCTTAAAACTGCAAACGTCAAGACCCTTCGACGGCAAAGACTTCTTTACCTGGTCCTTTGAATTCGAGCTGATGATGGAGGGCGCGCAGATACTCGGCTTCTTCGACGGGTCCCTGCAGTATCCAGCCAACGGGACACAATATGAAAAGCAGCAGTATACGTATCAATCAATGATGGCGTATACAATCCTATTGAGGAACGTGACACCAACTCAGCAGCAGAACATTCGCTCTTACCGGACCTTCGGCAACTCGGCGGAGCTCGCGTACAGCCATCTGAAGAACCTGTATCAAGCAACAGACAGTGTAAACCAGAGCAGGTTAATGGCGCAGTTGACGACAGTTGAAATGAAACCAGGAGAAAAAGGACTGGCGTATATCAGCCGATGTCGCGAACTACGCGACAAGCTGCTTCGATGCGGAGGGTCAATCTCTGAAGACGCCTTCGTGACAGTCATCATTGGTGGGCTTGGTCCTCAGTGGCGCGCCACCAAAGCCATTCTTCGAGCCCACGGAAGAATCTCTGAAGCTGCACTCTGCGCCGAAATACATGCCGAGCAACAAGATATGGACCTGCAGGAAGAACGACACAGGAAGAAAACGACAGTATCAGAGTTCGCATTCCACACTCAACGACGACACAGCAATTATAACAACCGACAGCAGCAACCGAAGATAGTACCTCCTTTCTGCCACATCTGCAAGACTTCAGGGCACCCGCGCACACACTGCCCGAATCGTCAGCAATCAACGGCATCACAGCGACAACTTCGACCTTCAAGCTCCCAAATGGCTTCAACACAAGCAAGTGCGACGACCACTATTCAAGCTTCAACGACTTCACAACCTGCACGAGGAGCAAGAAACATAATCAACTGCATGACGAAGATAACCGATTCGTGTACAACCGAATCACCACCACACTACTCACCGGAAGAAGAGCTTGACAACAGAACGCCTCGCCGTGAGCTACTCCAGCCGAATCCAACGTACGCCGCCATCGCTCAAAGTGAACCGTCCGGCCAAGACACCTGGTTCTTGGACAGTTGCTGCGGGCAACACATGTGCTCGTCCGGGCGTTTCGTACAACGCGAACATCGACTCCAACGGGAAGTAATCATCACGGTTGCCAACAACCAAAACCTGCGCACACGAAGACAAGGAGTGGTACAACTTCAGTCAAGAGAAACAAACGTCATACTGCACATGTCTAAGGTACTCATCGCTGAAGGACTCGGCTACAACTTACTGAGCGTTAGCCAGTTGATGGCGAAAGGAATTCATCTGGAAGCCGACAGCACGACCCAGGAGTACAAGCTTTACCACGGGAGAGGCGGTCTCTACATCGGAAAAGCAGTGCTGAAGAACAACGTCTTCGTCCTCGACTTCGTTCCTGACCTCGGCACTGCAGACAGCGACGCCATCGTGAATTTCACTGATTGGACACACCCTCCGGATCTCGACCCCGACTTCAGCCCGGGAGGCTTCTGGTACTCGCACACCATTCCTGAAGCAGAACGAACACGAGCATTAGCAACAATTCGACAATCGGCAGCAGTAACAACATCGACATCAGCAGCAACAACATCGGCAGCAGTAACAACATCGGCAGCAGCAACAACATCAGCAGCAGCAGAAACAACGACACCAGTCACAGTCAACGAAGCACCACCAACACCCGCACAACAGCTGAATCCGACTCAACGTGAAGTCCACCGAAGCGCCAACCTCGTCGCCAGCTTTTACTCCAACTCCGACGCATATCAGCGTTCACCTGGACACCGCGCCTCTGAAGAGATCTGGCACGCACGAACAGGACATCCAAGCAACACGGTTTCGAATAACACGATAAGAGCAGGAGTCCTTGACAAAGATTCTCTACTTCTACCCGATGGCAGAGAACTCCAGAAGGCACGAGGGACTTGCCTTATATGTCCCGAAGCTGACTTACCTCATCGACCGTTTGCTTCACATCACAAACCGAGCGCTCCAGCGTACGCACCACTCGAAAAAGTCTACAGCGACATCCTCTACAATCGCGAACCAGGACAAGTCAACTACAACTACACCATCACCTTCATCGACGCCGCCACTCGATACGTCTGGCATCGCAACCTACCCAGCCGCGACATGGCACTCGCAGCATTCGCCGCCTGGCTACCGATAGCAGAGAGAGAGTCTGGAACACAACTAAAAAATTTCCAGTCAGACGGAGGTGGCGAGTACACCTCTCACCGCTTCAAGCAGTTCTTGGCGGAAAGGGGGATCAAGCAACTCCTCTCCCTTCCCTACGCACATCAGCAGCAAGGTGTTGCAGAACGACTGAACAGGACCCTGCAGAACAGCATGCGCAAACTGTTACGTGGCATGCGGCTACCCAACCACCAGTGGCCAGCAGCAATGGACCACGCTGTCATGCTACACAACTTGTTGTCGTCGTCGTCACTCCCGAACAACGCATCACCGCATCTGCTGTGGACAGGGAAGCAGGGCAGCACGAAAATGTTACGAGTTTTCGGGTGCATGGTACAGTACAGACCCCCAGAAGCACGGGCGGGAAGATTTTCGCAACGGGCACAGTGGGGACTACACCTCGGCATCGAGAAAAATTACAACGCATGGAGAATCTTTGACGTCCACACAAAGGAAACAGTAGCAGCACGTGACGTGATCTTCTACGAAAGACTCACCCTTCAGACGTACCTCGCCAACTTGCACGAGAATCGGGACCTCACCAGTGGTTTTCGTGGTGACCGAGCCTTCGCATCAGCAGCGGATGAAGCAGACTGGGACGAGCAGAATGTTGACAACGCATCGGCAGAAGCCGGACCTCTCCCGTACTGCTCCGTCAACGTGCCCATGGACGAAGAAAATCCTCGCGACAGTAACAACGCCGAAGTCTTCTACCACTTCGCCGACACCGGTTACGTAACACCTGCAACTGTCAACACAAATGAAGCAGAAAGGATAGGACCGAATTTCATCCCTGATCCAGAAGCGGGAGACGAAGCAGCTTATCCCGAGGATCCAGAACTCCCTCGATACTCACAGACTGGGCTGCAAATCCTCGGCCTCGTCACCGCAGTCCACGGGAACACACGCAGCTCGCTTCCTCAGGAGCCTGCAACGGTTCAGCAGGCTCTGGGGGGGGAACACAGGGAGAAATGGCGTGAAGCCATGGATAGAGAACTGAAGGCATTAGAGGAACGCAACACTTGGAAGGTTGTTCCCGTAAGCGTGGCACGGAACAAAACCGTCCTTACCGGGAAATGGGTCTTCCGCATCAAGACGAAAGCAGACGGCACGATCGAAAAATTCAAAGCACGCTGGGTCGTACGTGGATTCGACCAAGAGCAAGGACGAGACTTCACCGAGACCTTTGCTCCAGTCAGCCGCCACACGTCACTCCGAATTCTCCTCGCCATTGCCGCCATGAAGAAGAAGAAGTTACGACAGATCGACGTAGCGAATGCCTTCCTCTACGCACCTGTGGATGCAGAAATCTACGTCGAGCTCCCGCACGGTTCCCACGGCGAACCCAACCGAATCTGTCAACTACTTAAGTCGCTCTACGGGATCAAACAAGCACCGCGACTGTGGCAGCAGTACCTACACGCCCGTCTCATCCGCATCGGCTTTAGTCAACTACCTCACGACCAAGGCATGTACCGCCTCACTAAGGGAAGCGACTACGTTCTCCTGATCGTCTACGTGGACGATCTCCTCTACATTGGGTCGACCAACGGCATTGCCACGTGGTTCGAAGGAGAGCTCCAGAAAGATCTCACGCTCACGGTCTCCTCCACCGTTACACAGTACCTCGGGCTCAACATCCGCGAAGAAGAAAACGCCATCTATCTAAGCGCCGAGAAATACGCCGACACCATCGCGAAACGCTTCAGCCTCACACCAAGCGCCATCTCCACGCCTTACCGCTATACATCAGGAACCGAGAAGGAACGAACTACTCTACTCAAGCCCGCCGGCATACGCGACTATCAGAAGAAGCTCGGATGCCTGCTATTCGCCGCCGTCACCTGCCGCCCTGACTTATCCTACTCCGCAAGTCAGCTCGCCACCTATCTCAAGAAGCCTGAAGCTGAACACCTGGCGGAACTTGATCGCGCTCTCCACTACTTCGTCAGCACCGCGACGATCGGGCTAACCTACCACAAGAGCGCAGCTACACCAACTAAGCTAATCGGCTACGTCGACGCCGATCACGCCGGCGACACCGACAACAGGCGCTCACGCACCGGCTATGTCTACCGCCTTGAGCCTATCGGTCCTATCTCCTGGCAGTCGAGCAAGCAGGAGTTAATCGCACTATCTTCAGCAGAAGCAGAATATATTGCACTCTGCTCAGCCACCAAGGAGGGACTTTACCTTCGCGAACTACTGGAAGAAGCGAAGCTAGCCGAGTTACCCAGCTTCACCGTGTTCTGCGACAACCAGTCAGCAATTCGCATCGCCAACAAAAACGGTTTCGCAAACAGGACGAAACACATCGCCCTGCGCTATTTCTTCGTGAAGGACGAGATAGAAAAGGGGAAACTCGATCTGTCATACTGCCCAACATCCGAGATGGCAGCCGATTACTTGACCAAGAAACTCGGAAAGCAGAAGTTCGAATACTGCATGATGCTGACTGGACAAGGCCACGTCACCAGCAGCGACACTCCAGAAGCGAAGGGGAGTGTTGGAAACAATAAGTCCTAAGTGCGCTTCTGTCGTATCAAAACCCAAGGCACCAAGCGAAGCAGTCCCAATCGGAGCATCGAGTCAACCTCGGAGGTTAGGGTAACCGCCTGGAGGTTACGAGAAAGTCAAAGGTCGCTGACCTTTGACTCGACAAATACAGCGCGACAGTTAAGGACACACAACTGACTCGCTACAGAGCAGTTGCCCGAGTCGCACTGTATCGAACCGCAACAGCAATACAGTTATCTACATATCTATTCGTATTCCCTGTACTCTTATATAAATCCTTGTATTTGCTTGTTTAATTCAATCAACTTTGCTCTCACACACCAGTGCAAGGTCGGTTCAAATTCTTCACTAAACGCTTCCGCTATTACAACTACTTCACCTAAAGTTATCCCTTGCAAAGATCCTAAGGGGCTATCTCAGCCCAACAAAGAGCACCTACACTACACACTACTTACCCTATCTGCCTCCTACCTACGGACCACCAAGTACTCACCCATGTTGACCACAGAATGAGAGGAGAGGAGCTGCTGGCACTGCTGTTAAAATGTACTCTTTGACCGAGTGGCTGATAGTGATCAAGTGTACCTACGTGCTTACCTACCTACCTATCTATGAGTCGGTCAGCACCCACCCAACTCAATCACTGAGCTAGGGGAGCAGCTTTGGCCTGCTGGTGGTGCTGTAGCAGCAACTGGTCCTGGGAGCAGCTTTGATGTGGTGGTTGATAGTACAATGCACGGAGGGCAAAGGAGTGTCTATCTTTGCTTTCTGCCCTGCTACTCCAAAGCCAAGAACATCACTGCAGCGCACCGTGCCCCTCTGAATCAGAGCTACAGTACTACTGCTGACTGAGAGTGCCTTTAGGGGCTTTGTGCAATGAATGATCAATGATGTAATTAAATTCATTACCATCCACACTGCCATAGAACAAATGCCTGCCACACAAAAGCGGCAGGTTCGGTCAAAGGCCGGAGCTGCATGAGCAGCAGGTTGCCAGAAGCACCTCCTTCCACAACGACTCAACTCAACACCTCTGCTGCTGCAGGTCAGGTGGGGTGAGGGGTACTGTGGCCTTGAGTGTGCAGCCGCGTTGCCTGCATGCTACCACAGCTCGTCCCACTGGCAGCGAGCGAGTCGGAGAAATAAGAGTGTTGAGAGGCCTGCCTGAGCACGTCCACTGGCAGAGTGCCTGAGAGGAGAGGTGCCTGAGAGGAGAGGTGCCTGGGAGGAGAGGTGCCTGAGAGGAGAGGTGCCTGGGAGGAGAGGTGCCTGGGAGGAGAGGTGCCTGAGAGGAGAGGTGCCTGGGAGGAGAGGTGCCTGGGAGGAGAGGTGCCTGAGAGGAGAGGTGCCTGAGAGGAGAGGTGCCTGAGAGGAGAGGTGCCTGGGAGGAGAGGTGCCTGAGAGCAGAGGTGCCTGAGAGGAGAGGTAGATGCCCTAAGACGTCCTGGAAGAGAGTGTACTTGCGCGCATATCACATCAGAGCATGGCACGGCGCATCACTCCTGACCAAAGTGCGTAGCTGCGTCGGCTGCATGGTGCTTGAGAACTTTCACTGGCAGAGCGCCTGAGAGGTGAGAGCCAGAAAAGTGCTGCCACAGTGCACACGGCACATCACATCACTCCTGGCCAAAGTGCATAGCTGCATGCTTTAGAGCGCCTCAAAAGTGTGTAGCCGCGTCGGCTGCATGCTGCTTGAGCACGTCCACTGGCAGAGCGCCCGAGAGGTGAGCCCACGGGAGCACCTCACTCTCCCCCACCTGCTCACACACATGGGGACATGCATGGCATCAGGACATTCACAGTGTCTGTTCTCTCTGTGTGTGCGTGCGTGCGTGCGAAGCACTCGAGTTTTAACCCCTAAGAAAGCACAACCACCAGTCTGAAGGCGTAGTATTCAGGCGGCGGCACCTGCCCCCTCATCTCCTTGAACGCGCACCCAAAGCTGCCCTGCGACCCGCCAAACTGCAGTTGCGCACCAGGTATGGTCTATACACGGAGGGCCGTAGAGCCCTGTCACCCCCCGAACCACCAAACCCCCAAACCCGCCAATACTCTAAAAACCCACAACCCCCCCAACCCAAACCCCCTCACGAAGCACACCCCTGCCCCCTCATGTGTGCCCGCACACCCACCAGTCTGAAAGCATAATATTCAGGCGGCGGCACCTGCCCCTTCATCTCCTTGAAGGCGCGCCCAAAGCTGCCCTGCGACCCGCCGAACTCGCGCGCCCTCTGCAGCAGCCTCGACAGCCGGCGGTCGCCTCTTGAGAGCACAGCCTGAGAATGATTGGACAAGAAAATTAGGGATTAGAAAGGGAGGGAGGTAGGGAGGGAGGGTGACAGAGGAGGGGAAACGGAGTAACTCAGGGTTGAAACCCAATCACTGCCTCACACTCCCCGCCTGCCCCTCACTCCCCCATCTCCCACCCTCACCTGCCAGCCACACACTTCCCTTATAGCCCTCGGGACAGAACTCCACACCCACTACCCGCATATGCCCGATCTAGGCACCAAGGTAGAACAAGCAAGCAAAATTCCTACTTGCACCCACCTGCCACCACACACTCAAACCACTCACCTTCTGCCTCACAGTCTCAATTCTCCCCACCCACCTGCCACACGCTCCACTTGTAGCTCTCAGGGCGGAACTCCACGCCCTCCTTCCGCATCTCCTTCTCCAGCACTCTCAGCCGCGCCTCTGCTGCTGCCTGCACCGGCTGCCACTGGAACGGCGTGTGCGCCTGAGAGAAGATGAACAGGTGATGGGGGGTGAAGGGAGGGAGCACATTAAGGAGCTGATGTGGGGAAGTGCTGGGGTGTGGTGAACAGACCACTCCTTCTCGAGCACTCTCAGCCGCGCCTCTGCTGCTTGCTGCACCGGCTGCCACTGGAACGGCGTGTGCGCCTGGCAAAAGTGGTTGAAAAAGGGGGAGTTATGGGGTGGAGTTGAATTGAAGCCTTCTGATGCCATTCGTTCATTCCTTCTCCAGAAGTCCCAGCCATCTCTGCTGCTGCTGCTGCACGAGTGGGAACTACAGGTACAGGCAGTGGCGGGGGTGGAGAGAGCATGATACATCTGCAAGCTCACAGCCATTTGTATACCTACCCTTGTGCCCATGTGATTTACCATGATTACCGAAGGGGCAACAGGGTGTGTAGAAGACTGCATGTTTTGAAACTGCCTTAAAGCCGCTGGCCCAAATTGCACAAGTTTTAAATGGTTGACGGGGAGGAAGTTTTCTTTTTGGGGTGTGGCGAGAGGTCCTATTTCGTCAAATTCGTTATCTTTGCAACACACAGCCAAAAACGTGTCTTCCCAGTGGTAGGAGCTCGAAAGTCCCAAATTGCAAGTGAACTTCTTTCAAGTTAACAAGCTCCTCACCGTCAAGTTTTAAAAGCTTGACCCACGCGCCTCGCAATTTGGGACTCGGGTTTTAAAATACAACATTACGGCAGGGAAAAACAATGCAGTGATGCCGACATACCTTGGCGGGGGACAAAAGGAAATAAAACCAAGAAAGCAATTCTGGAAAGAATTGTCATTATGGAAGGAAGAAGGCAATCCTGGTAAGGGCATGGTAATTATTAGAGAAAAAAAGGATGACGATGGTGGAAGAATGGTATGAATGGGAGAAATTGGGCAAGCGACGGCATTTGCATCATGTTACCTTGGGCACGAAGGTGGAGCATCCGAGGGTGAGCTTGAGCCGGGGAGCAGCTCTCCTCAGCTCCCTCATCATGCCCACTGTCTCTGCCACGTCAGCATCCGTCTGCCACGCAGGCATGGCATGCACGAGAAGAGGGACGGTATGCACTGAGCACAGTAGCACACACATCATGCATCAATCGTGAATGGACTTTTCTACGCATGTGGCAGGCAGAAGCACTGATTTCACTGGGCGACACAGTTGAATTGAGCGAGTCAGCGCGGCCAAGTGTGAGACAGTGCTGGCCTCATTACACCGTAAATACAGCAAAAAAAAAAGAGGGTGATGGACGTGAATGGAACAAGAGAAGAAGGCGGACCTCACCTCGCTGGGGAGCCCAACCATGCCATAGAGCTTCAACCCCGACAGGCCGCCCTCCTGTGCGTTCACTGCTGCTGCAACGATGTCTGCTGAATCCAGCTGAGGTGAGAAGACGAGGGGAGGCGAGGTCCCCACACATGGAGAGGGTGGTTGGAGGAGAGAAGAGAAATATTATCACTTGGTGCCAACCAAATACCCCCCTCTTGTTCGTTGACTGCTGCTGCAATGGTGTCTGCTGAGTCCAGCTGAGGTGAGAAGACGAGGCGAGGCGAGGCACACACACATTAGGGGGAGAAAGAGAATTTTGAGGCACCTCAGATATAGCCCTTCCTCCCACACTAACTACCTTCTTGCTCACCGCACTACATTCCTGCTCACCGCACTACAATCCTGTTCACTGCACTGCATACCTTCTTGTTCACCACGCGCCGCATGCGCTCGGAACCGCTCTCAACCGCAATGGTGAGAGACCGAGTCCCGGATTGCGCCAACGCCGCTGCCAGCTTGGCGGTCACTGTGTTGGTGCGCACTGATGCAATGCTGGCATGGGGGAGAGGCAAGCAAGGGACGAGGAAAATGAGAGGTACGCATGAAACGAAAGGCAAGGCAACGCCGCTGCCAGCTTGGCGGTCATTGTGTTGATGCACACCGATGCAATGCTGGTGTGTGGGGAAGACAGGGGGAAGGGAATTGAGCAGATTGTATGCAATGTAAGGCAGGCAAAGCAATGCTGCTGCCAGCTTGGGAGTCATTGTGTTGATTTCACAGATGCGATGCTGACGTGGAGTGTGGAGAATACGAGGGACGAGGGAAATGGGAAAAGAATATGCAATGTAAGTCAAGACAGGCCTGCGTCGAATGTCCTTCTTGCGCGGCTGCAGCAGGTATGAGAGCAAGCTGTCAAACTGTGGGTGCTCAAACGAAGTACAGAAACTCAGGGCGCACCTAATTGCATTGCACAGCACAGCAGGTACAGAAGGGGAGAGAAGGGCAGGCAGGGAGTAAGATCCACCTGAGGCGAATGTCCTTCATGTGCGGCTGCAGCAGGTAGGAGAGCAGGCTGTCGAAGTGTGGGTGCTGTGTGACTGATGCGCCCAGCAGGCCTATGCGGTTGGTCACCTGCGAAAGAGGCGTGCATGTGTGTGTGGTGTAGGGGATAGGGTGGGAAACTTGACACGGCACCTCAACGCCATGGAGGAGAATCTAGCATGGGTTAGTATGAGGTGCACTTTCATGCAGGGCTCGCTTCATAGCGGGTATGAGGTGTAGTACCAACAGGCCTCTCTCTATAACGTGTCTAAGGTGCAGATACCTTCGGCCTGCAAGCCTCGCTTTATAGCAGGTATGGCGCGTAATTCTCTGCCGGCCTCTCTCTGTAGCGTGGCGGGTATGGGGTGCACTGACCTGCAAGCCTCTCTCTATGGCTGATAAAAGGTTACCTGCGAGCCACACTCTCTAGCGAGTATAGGTGTAGTTACCTGCGAGCCACACTCTCTAGCGAGTATAGGTGTAGTTACCTGCGAGCCACACTCTCTAGCGAGTATAGGTGTAGTTACCTGCGAGCCACACTCTCTAGCGAGTATAGGTGTAGTTACCTGCGAGCCACACTCTCTAGCGAGTATAGGTGTAGTTACCTGCGAGCCACACTCTCTAGCGAGTATAGGTGTAGTTACCTGCGAGCCACACTCTCTAGCGAGTATAGGTGTAGTTACCTGCGAGCCACACTCTCTAGCGAGTATAGGTGTAGTTACCTGCGAGCCACACTCTCTAGCGAGTAAAGGTGTAGTTACCTGCGAGCCACACTCTCTAGCGAGTATAGGTGTAGTTACCTGCGAGCCACACTCTCTAGCGAGTATAGGTGTAGTTACCTGCGAGCCACACTCTCTAGCGAGTATAGGTGTAGTTACCTGCGAGCCACACTCTCTAGCGAGTATAGGTGTAGTTACCTGCGAGCCACACTCTCTAGCGAGTATAGGTGTAGTTACCTGCGAGCCACACTCTCTAGCGAGTATAGGTGTAGTTACCTGCGAGCCACACTCTCTAGCGAGTATAGGTGTAGTTACCTGCGAGCCACACTCTCTAGCGAGTATAGGTGTAGTTACCTGCGAGCCACACTCTCTAGCGAGTATAGGTGTAGTTACCTGCGAGCCACACTCTCTAGCGAGTATAGGTGTAGTTACCTGCGAGCCACACTCTCTAGCGAGTATAGGTGTAGTTACCTGCGAGCCACACTCTCTAGCGAGTATAGGTGTAGTTACCTGCGAGCCACACTCTCTAGCGAGTATAGGTGTAGTTACCTGCGAGCCACACTCTCTAGCGAGTATAGGTGTAGTTACCTGCGAGCCACACTCTCTAGCGAGTATAGGTGTAGTTACCTGCGAGCCACACTCTCTAGCGAGTATAGGTGTAGTTACCTGCGAGCCACACTCTCTAGCGAGTATAGGTGTAGTTACCTGCGAGCCACACTCTCTAGCGAGTATAGGTGTAGTTACCTGCGAGCCACACTCTCTAGCGAGTATAGGTGTAGTTACCTGCGAGCCACACTCTCTAGCGAGTATAGGTGTAGTTACCTGCGAGCCACACTCTCTAGCGAGTATAGGTGTAGTTACCTGCGAGCCACACTCTCTAGCGAGTATAGGTGTAGTTACCTGCGAGCCACACTCTCTAGCGAGTATAGGTGTAGTTACCTGCGAGCCACACTCTCTAGCGAGTATAGGTGTAGTTACCTGCGAGCCACACTCTCTAGCGAGTATAGGTGTAGTTACCTGCGAGCCACACTCTCTAGCGAGTATAGGTGTAGCTACCTGCAGGCCTCTCTCTATACTGGCTCTGAGGTGGTCTGAAAGTACCGCAGGGCAGAACACATGACCAGCAAGCCTTTACTTCCCTTCTGTCTGTTTGTGCCATACCCTCTCCCCATGTCTCCCATTTCCACTAAAATGTAAGCGTCTCTCTATAGCGGGTGTGTGGTGTAGTTACCTACCTGCAGGCCTCTCTCTATAGCGGGGATGAGGTGGTCTTCAAGAGCGGCAGGGCGGAAGGGCAGAGAGGAGTAGCTGGCGAGGCAGAAGCGACAGACCTCGGGACAGCTGCGCACCACCTGAGGAGGGTAGAAGGGGAGAGAGCGGCAAAGGATTGGGTTGAGCGTGGCCAGCTGCTTGCTGCGGTACGTCTGAGTCAACTCACAGGTCACTGTTTCGCACCCAAAACACAACAGACAGCAGCCGCACCGCACCTCCACCATGTATATCCCCTCCCACGCCATGCGAGGAGAGCGACACCACAGTGGACGTCGCCAGCTGCTTGCCTTCCTTGAGTCATGTCACACACCTTGGTGCACACAGCACAAAACAAAACAAGCATCACGCCGCACCTCCACCATGTATATCCCCTCCCACGCCATGCGAGGCGAGCGACACCACAGTGGACGTCGCCAGCTGCTTGCCTTCCTTGAGTCATGTCACACACCTTGGTGCACACAGCACAAAACAAAACAAGCATCACGCCGCACCTCCACCATGTATATCCCCTCCCACGCCATGCGCGGAGACACCACAGTGGACGTTGCCAGCTGCTTGCCTCTGTACGTCTGCCTCTCCACCACTGCAGGAGCTGCCGGGAGCATCATTCCTGTACTGATGCTGCTGCTGACATTTGTGCTGCCAGCTGGCAGTTGCAGAGGTGACACGTCAGCAATGGGTCCCGTGGATCTGTGGTATTCCACCCGGTACAGCAGAGGCACGTACACCCCTGGCACCTGATTGGTTGGTTGTGGAGCAGGACGAGTGAGAGAGAGAGGGTAGAGTGGGGCGGTGGGTGGAGAGCAGTGGAGAGCGGCGAAGAGCAGTGGAGAGCAGTAGCTCATGCAGGGGTTGCAGGGGTTGAGGGTTTGGGGGGTTTGAAGGTTTGGGAAATACACAAGAGCAGGATTTGAGAAGGGAATGGGCAAGGATGACAAAGAGGTGGTGGGGCGATTCCGAATGTGCTGTAATTGCTGCATTTCCTAAAAGGCTCTGATTCCAAATTTCCTAATGGAGCTCTCACCATTACCACTGCCACCCTCCCACTAACCTGAGCCAGAACCGAGAGCATTTCCAACCGCCTTCTGCTTCTGCTACCACCATCACCACTGGCTCCCTCCACCCCTCCTCCCCACACACACGCCCACTAACCTGAGCCAGAGCCGAGAGAATCTCCAACCGCCTGCTGCTTCTGCTGCTACCACTGGCTCCCTCCACCCCTCCTCCCGACACACACGCCTCGAACGCGTCCACGAAGCTTCCCAGAAGCTCCTCGCCGTCGCCCATCAAAATCACATCAAAGAAATCCGCAAACGGCTCCGGATTGGCCGAGAGAACCGCGCCCCCTCCGAACACGAAACACGTGGACCCACTCTCAAGCCTCTCCTCAGATCTCACCGGAACCCCCAAATCTTCTAGAATGTTCAGCACGTTCACGTAATCCAGTTCCCAGGAGAAGGAGAATCCGATCAGATTAGGGTTTCGAGGGAAGGGATCGTGCGCGTCGGTGAACATGCGGGTGACGTGGATGGATGCGCGGGAGCAGAGGTACGCCCACACCAGTTGATATCCGAGCGAGCAGATCCCGACCGTGTATTCGTTCGGGAAGGCGTAGATGCACCTGATTGGCTCGCGCGAGGCTTCGTTATTGTCACTTCTGGTGCTGAATCCATTTGTGCTGCTGTTACTGGAAATATTATTGCTGTGGGTGCTGCTGCTGCTGGTAGTGCATGTAGGGTCGCCTGAGCGAGGATCGAACAGGAGGGTCTCGTCTTGGGAGAATTGGATAAGATTCGCGATTTTTTGTTGATGAGTCAGCGCCTGATTCGCCGGCTGCTTCTTCTCCTGCTGGCGCTGCTGCTTATTTCCCTTCTCCCCTTGCTGCTGCTGCGACTTGCCTCCTTTTCTCGCGTTCTCTCGGTTCCTCGTGGCTCTAGCTCTAACTCTCACAGTAAGAACCCTCCGCATCGAGTCGTCTGGTTTTCGTACGTTCTCGCTCCCAAACGTCGCGACATTCCCCCAAAACGAATTCTTCCACCTGCTCCCGAATGTCGCGACACTTCCAAGCCCGCTGCCGCTCGCAGAGCGAAGCGTGAGAGCACCAGAAGTGGAAGCCGCCATGTGAAATTGGGGAGAAACGAGCTCTTGGACCACTGGTGGTAGCAGCGCAGCACTCAAGTCAAACGGCACTGGGGGTCGAGTCGAGACTCCGGGAACTGGAGACCAATTGTAACTCGATACAGAGTTTCCTACTACTCGTCTTAGACAGAATCCAGACAACTCTTCCCTACTTGACTCTAGAAAGCAGAATTACTACCCAATTCATCATGACTACATTAGATTGATCACTGCTCGAGCTCAAGCCTCGCTACAGTGTCGTGAAAGGGATATCACTGCTCGAGCTCTCCGCCATGGCTTCAGCTTTAACTTCGGCACGCCCAATGTTGACCAATTTCCAGCCTGATGGCACTTTCCTTAAAAAAATAATAATTTTTAAACACACATAGTGTGTTTTTTTAAATTGTGTATTGTGAAAGCGAAGCTGCTTGTACTGCACAATTGGCATCGTCGAAGCGCGCTAAACGCCCTTCTCCAACTAAAAAAACCGTGGGTTGGAGTTCATTTCCCTCCACCCACGTTTCTCGATTTTCAAACGGCTCACTCAACATTCCCACCACCCACCCCAGAGTAAACCGCCTTGCTAATGCCACTTGGATAGGGTACATCTTAGCTAGTATTATTCGATTGCACTAGCTTGCATTCAACGTTGATGCAAATGTTGTAATAACCCATTTGTAATGAGAACGATGCCAATTAATAATAATAAGAAAGCAGGCTTTCTCAATCTTAACGTTCAGTTCGACCAGCGCTTCAAGAGGATACCTTTTTGAGAAAACCGAAACGAGAATGAATGAACTATGAATGAACTGAGTACAAGTACTAACCCTAATTGGGTTGTACCCCTTATGGGCTACCCCACTATAGCCTACACAATAAGCACAAGCTATATGTTCTGACACACCCCCATAGGCAAAGTGGGGGAGAACAAGGGGTCACAAGACCAGTCAAGCAAAGCAAAGCAAAGCAAGCTCAGGGTGGATCACAAAGTCACCACACATTCTGAGCACAAGATCAAGGCCACAAGGCCAATTCACATGCAGGAGTACATACATATAAAGGACTAGACAAGCAAGAGCAGGTGTATATATATGCAACATTACAAGCAAGGTCAAGAGGTGAGCAAGTGAGGCAAGACAGGCACAAGACCCAGCTGCGTGCAGAAGCGCTGATGATCACAAGGCGCAAGTGCCTTGGTGAAGACATCAGCAGTGTTGGCCTCAGAGGCCACGTACGCAAGCCGCAACTGACCACGCTGCTGTAGCTCACGAGCAAGGAAGTAGCGAAGAGCAATGTGCTTTCTTCTGTGCTCAAGTCTCTGCTCTCGACACAAGGCCAGCAGGGCCTTGTTGTCTACGTACAGAACTGGAGGAGAACGAGGCGACTCTCCAAGGTCGGTCAGCAGGTAGGTGAGCCAGCGAAGCTCCTGTGCAGCCATGGCCCCGGCGTAGATCTCAGCCTCACAACTGGAGCCGAGAACAGAAGACGAGCGAGTAGCCCGCAACGAAACAGAGCCGGAATCAAGGCTGAAGGTATAACCCTGTGACGACCGCTGCGTAGCCTGGTCGTCAGCCCAAGAAGCGTCCGCGTGCCCAGTGAGGACCACTGGACTCCGCCCTCCAAGCACTAGCCCCATGCCCGACGTACTGCACAAGTAGCGCAACACCCTCTTCGCTGCAGCCATGTGCTCTGTTCGGTGTCTCCCAGGAGCAACATAGCATGCGAGAATGCTAAGAGGGTATGCAAGGTCATGTCGTGTGCAGGTCATCAGGTACATGAGGCAGCCAACAAGCTCTGGATACGGGCCACTCGACTCTACGGACTCATCCGAAGGTCGAGCTGAGAGCGAGTGGCGAGTAGGCAAAGGAGTGGCCTGAGGCGAGGAGTACGTGAAGCCGAAGCGCTCAAGGACCTGCTGCACCATGTGTGACTGAGTCAGGGTAATGGTGCGGCGTGCTCTGTCCCGGGTGATCTGCAAGCCAAGGTAGCTGCGCAGTTCACCCAGGTCTGTGCACGTGTGTTTCTTCTGCAGCTCGGACTTCACGTAGGAGAGTCCAGCAGTGTCAGCTGTGGCAAAGACCAAGTCGTCGACGTACACGAGGATGTAGAACGGCGGCAGAGAGGTGTCGGTGCGCAGAAACAGCGACGGGTCGGCAGTAGAAGGAGCAAACCCAAGAGCCGCAAGCGTAGTCCTCAGTGTGTCGTGCCACTCACGCGGTGCCTGGCGAAGACCGTAGACTGGCCGCCGGAGACTCCACTGGGTACCAAGAGGGAAAGACCCAGTGAAGCCAGGTGGGCGGTGCAGCCAGATCTCCTCGTGCAGGCTGCCCTGCAAGAAAGCTGTGCTGAAGTCGAGAGAGTGCAGCTCGTAGTCACGGTGAGCAGCAACGTGCAGCAGTACCCAAAGAGTGGTCATCTTCGGGGTGGGAGAGAAGGTCTGAAAGTAGTCAACTCCCTGCCGCTGACTGAAGCCACGAGCCACGTAACGCGCCTTGAAGACAGGCGGAGAACCCGGCGGCCGCTTCACCCTGAAGATCCACATGCCACTGACGATGTTCGCCCCAGGAGGGGGGACAGCGTCAATGTAGGTGCGTGTGGACTTCCAGGAAGCCATCTGTGCATCCATAGCTGCCTGCCACTGAGAGGAGTAGGGACCCTCTATCGCCTCCACGTAAGAGCGCGGAGTCGGGATGTCAAGTGCATCAGGGTCTCCCTCAGGGGTAAGCAGTATGGACACGAGATGAGGTGAAGCAGCTGCCAAGCACTGGAACTCCTCTTGCTTGTCCTCAAGGACGTCCGTGCAAAGAGCACACTCACCCTCGACGGACGGAGGACAGACAGACTCAGACTCAGCGACAAGACTAGCAGCGTAGTCTAGGCGACAGCGAGCAGCAAAGTCGACGAGCTCAGCAACTAGGGCAGACGCAGCAGTGGACTCGAAAGAAGGGTCAGTGACGACAGTAGCCAGGAGACGCGTGACAGTAGGACTGGCAGCACGAAGAGAGTCCGACTCCGGGTCGGCAAAAGCAGGAAGAGAGGACTCAGGAGGAGAAGGCAAAGGGGAGGTAGGCTGCAACTGTAACTGTGACGGGACTGGCTGTGGACACTCTAAAGAAAGAGGAGGACCAGTAGAAGGCGGAAGACTAAGAACCTCCTGCAGGAGTGGAACGAAGTACGGTCGAGGCCGCGCGGCGACGCTAGACACAGCAGGTACAGCACCAGTACCCCCAGTAGGTGCACCCGCTCCAGCTGCACCTCCAGCAGCGCCAGAAGTACCCGCAGCAGGACCGCCAGCAGTAGTCTCAGCTCCAACACTCTCAGCAGCACCAGCTCCAGACGAACCCGCAGGCCCAGCAGCTCCAGTACCCCCAGTACGAGCACCTTCGAGACCCGCGACAGTAGCACCCTCAGTAGCCGAAGAACCTCCAGCACCAGCAGCACGCCTCCAGCGCTGGGCAAACCACTCGCGCAGCTCCCGTGGAGAGAGTGGCTCCCGCAGAGACGAAGCACCCGGAGAACCTCCAGGCGGAGCACCTCCAAGCTCAGCACCCCCAGGCTCAGCACCCCAAGGCTCAACACCCCCAGTCGCAGCACCCCCAGGCTCAGCACCCCCAGGCTCAGCACCCCCAGGCTCAGCACCCCCGGGCTCAGCACCCCCAGGCTCAGCACCCTCAGCAGCACCAGAGTCACCAGTGACCTCGACAGGCTCGACTGCGTCTACCTGGGACACACCTGAAGGGGACAGACCCTGAGGGGGGAGGGGGTCTACCGGAGGGGGACCTGGTACAAGGAAGAGCGGCGGCGGGGGGAGGGACGGAGTGCGGTAGGGGAAGAGACAGTAGTAGGGGACCGACTCGTCAAACGTGACGTCCCGGGAGGACAGAAAACGGCGAGAGGTGGGGTGGTAGAGCTGCCACCCTGGCGCATCAGGGGGGAACCCCAGGAAGACGCAAGGAGCAGCATGAGGGGACAGCTTGTCCGCAGACAAGTCGCGGACAAACGCCCGAGATCCCCAGACCCGGAACGCCGACGCATTGCCAACCTTCCCCGTCCATAGCAAGGCTGGGGAGGTCTCCGGTCTGGAGACCCTGGGGTGTAGGATGATCTGATGCGCCACGTACCTCACTGCAAACGGCCACAGAAAATGGGGAGCATCCGCATGCATCATAGACGTACGAGCCACGTCCATGACCATGCCAATGCGGCGCTCAGCAATCCCATTTTGGTGCGGGGAGTCCGGAAGCGTGAAGGTCTGACGGATTCCTCGTGCGCGACAGTAGGCTCTCAGAAGGCCAGAAGAAAACTCTCCGCCTCTGTCCGAGTGCAGACGCAGAACAGGATAGTCCGAGCCAAAGCTCTGCCTGAGCTGGAGACGAGCTGCGTGGATCCAGTCGATC